TTAAGCGCCTTACATATCTTCTTGGGGATAGAAGAATCAAAATCCATGTAGTTCTTTTACCCTCAGTCGTCGCTACCCGTTCCGGTACCGGTACCGGTAGTGGTGGTATCTCCGTCGTCAAAGAATTCGGATTCATTATTCCGATCTATCTCTTGTTGTCGATATTGAGCCTTCGTCCAATCATCGATGTAAGCTTGAGCCTCCACTGATTGCGGAACTAATCTTGAACGTTGTTCATCCAAAATATTACCTTCGGCACTGAATGCTTGTTCGACCGCAACTGTCGAACATGGGGTTGCAAAAATTTGTTTTGCAATAAGAGAAAGGATTGGGTATTGGCTTGCGTGCCTCTTCCACCAATCCAGAATTAAAAAACCTATACTACCTTCGAATTCATAAAACTCAAAAGAAACGGTTAGATACATCTTTATTTCAGAAATGTTTCCTATTACTGCCTTTTGCTTTTTTTTTTGTCTATGTAATAAAAGTTGGTACCCTCTACTAATTTTACTTGTACTCTCACTTTGTGTCTCGATAGATTGAGAATATCCAATATCACCTCCCTTAGTACAAAATTCATTATATAATTCTATTACTACGTTTTTAACCTCCTTAGTATGGTTATAACATTTACCATATTATAATGTAAATATTGATAATACATATGCAAATAATCACATAAACCATCTAATTTGCAACGTGGATAAAAAACACAAGCAACTAAATAAATAATGGGAATTTCGCTATAGTAATGTAGCCACTTTATTCTCATTGTTACATAGTATTTTGTAATTCAACATCATTTTCATATTCCTCAAAAACTTCGACAATATTAATACACTCTACAAAAAATACATGCGTAGTAGGATAATAAACACCGGACAAAGTATAAGTTGCATAATTAAAAACCTTTAAAATATCTAAAATTTTTTTGCAAATATCCCACTCTTGTGGGTATAAATTAATCTGAGGTATATTATTAGAAATGAATGCACATAATAAATCTTTATATGCAAAAAATTCATTAAGCAAGTGGAAAGTAGAATTCCAACGAGTTGGAACATCTCTTGGAAATCTTCTTGGCCTTTTTCCATTTGCTTTACAAAATCTACTCCATTCTTTCATTTTTTGGGGATGTTTTCATAAAAATTGAATCGCTGTTTTTATTGGTTCAAGAAAAATATCAAGAGTTTTCAAGACATAAATTTAAAACATGACAAGCACATCTAACGTGAAAAATTTTTCCGCCAAAAGCAGGTCTACAAATATTTTCTAAATCAGCAATTGAAGCGGTATTTGCCGCGGCATTATCAAAACCAATTGAAAAAATTTTGTTAAGCAAACAATATTCTTCTAAAATTTGCCTAATTATTCTATAAATATTATTTGCCGTATGCTTACAATCGAAAACTCTAAATGCGAGGACACTTTTTTGAATATTACGATTGTCGTCTATCCAATGACATGTTATGTCCATGTAAGAATGAATTTGCTAATGATCACTCCAAATATCACTACCTATATGCACAAATCCATTAAATTGCATAAAACAGTTTTATAAATCTTTTTTTCTATTTTTGTAAAGATCTTTAATTACTAGTTTAAGTATATTTCTAAGAACACGTTTTGCTTGTGGAGCACAAGCTTTTTGTACAAATTGATTAAAACCAAATCTTTCTCCAAAATTAAATGATAAATGCTCAACGGAAACAATTTTACCTAATTCTTCCTTATAAGTTTTTTCATTAAAACGAAATAAATGAGAAGTGTTAGGATTGACATACTCGGAAATTTGTTGTTGGTTGGTATCGATTCCCGCTTCGGTTGAATGTTTGCTCCTAAGATGTCGTTTGAATGTTCCATATCCTTGTCCACCTGTATATTTATATATTGCCCCACAATGTTTATAAATTATATCATACCTTTTTGGACTAATATCAAACTTTTCCGTTTTCGTGAAGTGGTCCCAAATGTTGGATGTAAGTTCCCGCTCCGCCTCCTTTGTTGTTGACATTTCGGCATGAAGACTTTCTTGTGTTAGGACGCGCTCCACATCAGGAAAAATGTTGATTTTATCATCTTAAAAATCTGCATAATCACGAGGATCAAAAGAATGTTCGGATTCCATCATTCTATTCTTACCTTTGCCAGTTGCCGCTTGACTTCCACTTGCCATTTTTCGAGTGGATTGAGAGAATTGAGCAAATTGATTAGGAGAATTAAGAGAGAATTGCGCTGATTGAAAAAATTGAGAGAATTTTGATTGAGAAAATTGAGAGAATTTGAGAGAATTGAGAGTATTGAGAGAATTTGAGAGTATTGAGAAAATTTGAGAGAATTTATAAGAAAAAAATGAGAAGGAAATTTGGCCGTTGGGAATTTAGCTGTTGCCAAGGCCCCAACGGCCACCTGCCCTGGCCTGCAGGCAAATTTTTTTTTTTTTGGAACCGAGCCCGGAACCGGCGGTTTCGGGTCGGTTCCAAAATTGTTGGAACCGGAACCAGGCCCGTAGGCCACGGGCCCGGTCAACGGGCCGGTCCTGGGTTTGACCCGGGGCGGTTCCAGGCCGAAACCGGCCCGTGCCCATGTCTAATCGCCGACGCTGACGTGGACAATTACTAAAAAAATTCAAAAAAAAATCCATGTCGGAATGGGAAATTAATAAAAAAATCCACGTAGAATAATTTGCTTGAAATAGCACTCAAATGATCGATTTTACTCCGATGTCGCACTTAAGTGAGCGAAAAAAAAGTTATGGCATTCAAGTGAGCACCGTACGAAAGTTATGGCACTTCTGCTAATCTTATCCCAAGATTTGAATATCGTATGAGTTATTAAATCATGTTTGTTGCATAAAATATGAATTAGACGCTTACTATGTTTTGATAGTTGTGAAAGCTTATATATATAATGATTTGTGAACTAAGTTTGTGGAATGAATTCCGAAATAGTGTGAGAAATGTCTCGTGGAATATATATTTTTACAATGAATGGAGTTTTGAAATATTATATATTTTGGGTTTGTGAAACCTTTTTGTGAAAGAATTACTAAAAGCTTTGACTTTGAGTATGGTTTATAAAACGTTATATATGTATTGATTTGGCAAATGCTTTAGGAAATGCATTCTATTTGATCAATTGAGTTGTGAAATGTGATTTGATTTGGTTTGTAAAACTGGTTTATGAGATGAATTATTATTTTGATTTTGATTGCGTGATTATTAGAGAATGAGGTTTATGCTCATGTTACTATGATTAGAACCCATTGAGGGGGAGTATGTATAGGGTTATCAAGACGTCTTTCTGGACTGATCCATCAGTTGATATAGGCAGTAGACTTAGCCAAGAGGGATAAACTTGGTTGCCTTTGTCACGGCGTTAAACGTGACCACATTTGGATATTGAATATTATATTAGTCAATGGAATGGGTAATTGACGTGAGATTTGATGAGACTAATCAATGGACTAGATCATTGATATGTGAGTTGTTGAGATTGATGAATGGACTAGACTATTGATATTTGTTTTGATATTGCTGACAAAATGAGTATTTCAGATATGTATAAATTTTTGTTGACAACATAAAACTTGTTTTTAACCTCGTACATATGCTATACTGTGGATTTGAATGAAATAAGTTTCGGTATGTTATGTAAATATACATAGTGGGTGTTCGATCTGCTTGAAAGATATACACATTACTCACTGAGTTGTTATTGTTCACCCCATTCTTTCCAACGTTTTAAAGGTTTTTCTACTAACGGCAAATATGGCGACAACGATATCAACGAGGATTTCAGTAATTGGATTTGGACACTATTGGGTATGAGTTGTGTATGTCTAATAATAGTTTTTGGGTTTATTTGAGTTTGGAGACGTACATATCCTCTTAATGGATTTTAGAAACTCTGATCTCAAAACCAATTTCCTATTTTATAAGATATATAGATGTGTGTGTATATTGTGATTGTAGGTTTACGTCAGTTTTTTTTATTTTAGGTTATGTCCTTTAGGTAAGAGGACGGCCATGTCATTACCCTTTTCTGATAGAAATCGTGGTGTGATAATTATGATATTCAAGAGATTCAATTTTGTTGAAATGGTCCATAAGTCGGGTTAGGCTAGTACTGCCTTCTTCAATTGGCATCATGCCCTTGCATCTTCATCTATTGGATCATCGATAGTTTATGGGGAGAGAAAATATGATCTGACGGCTCTAATTAAATATTGGTCATGTAATCACGATGAAATGCAAGTCTATGATCGCCCGAAGGTAAAGTGGCCTATCCCTCCCATTACACAAGTTTTGTTGGGCTTGGAATTTATTATCTTAAATGGATTTTTTTGACGAACTCATTTATGTTTTTGTAATTTTTAAAGGTTAAAGCTATTTTCGCACCTTAAAAATCTTAAAATACTCCGGCCACCATATTCTCAACAATCAAAATGCACCTTGTAAAAGTAGGCCAATTGCATAATAGATTACTTTTTTTCAATGGGATAAGTGCAGTAGAAGTCTTAAAACTTGTCACAAAAATTCAATTGTGTCTTAAAATTTTCAAAAAGTGCAATTAAGTCCTACAACTTATCATGAAAGTGTAATTGAATCCTAAAACTTTCGAAAAGTGCAATTAAGTCTTAAAAATTATCAAATTGATTTCAATAAAAATTTTCAATTGATTGCACTTTTTGAAAGTTTTATAATTGGATTGGATTTTGGCGATAAATTTTACGACTTGATTAAATTTTAAGATTCGATTATACTTTTATGATAAATTTTAGGATTTGGTTATACTTTTTGAAAATTTTAAAACACAATTACACTTCTATAATAAATTTTACGACTTTCGGTATACTTTATCACTTTTGTGATAATTCTTTGTGTTGATTAGCCCTGCCATAACATGAGAGGAGGAGCCCTCCCCAGAAGACGCATAGCGAGAGCAGCGTCCCGAAAGAGAAAGAGGAGCAGCAGGGACCCTTCATCACCGAAAGAGCTATGGCGGAGGCGATCATCTGGAGGATATCTGACCTTCTGGATGATCTGCCAAAGTATGGAAAGTCATGGGCCGTCGGCGGCGAATTACACAGGCTCAAGAAAACCGTCTCCGCCCTCCAAAGCGTAGTGCGCGATGCGGAGAAGCGGTTGCTCGACGACTTCATGGATCAGCAGTTCATGGTGGTCCAGACCCCCGGAGGAATCCGAGAATGGTTCGACGACCTCAAAGCTGCTGTCTACGACGCGGAGGACTTGCTGGAAGAGTGGAGCATCGAAGTCACGCGGCGAGAATTGCCGGGCAAGGACGAGAAGTTGGAGCAGGTAATCACCTTCTTCTCGCCTTCGAACCAACTGGCTCTGGGGCTGAAGATGACCGCCCGCGTGAGGAGAATTAGGAAGAGAATGGAGGCCATTGCTGCTTAAGGGAGGGATTTTGACCTGCGGGAGGATGTGCAAGTAGAGAGCGGGTCGAGGAGGAGGAGAGAGCGGTCGGACTCCTTTGGGTACGAGGAGGAGATTATAGGGAGAGATGGCGCTAAAAGCGCAATCTTGAAGTTCTTGTTAGGCTCTGACGCTGAAGAAAAGATTCTAGTGGTTTCGATATGTGGTGTGGGTGGGGTTGGAAAGACGGCTCTTGCTCGATGTCTGTACAAAGATGACATGGTCAACAAGCATTTTGATTTGAGGATATGGGTATGTGTACGTCACTTGTGCGATCTCAAAATGGCATTGCAAAAAATCACGGAGAGCGCAACGAACGAGGGAGTAGACGACATTGAGTTGGAGCAATTGCAAAATCGAGTCGTGGAACTTGTTCGGGGAAGAAAATATCTCCTGGTTGTCGATGATGTAATGTCGCATCTTCATGAGCAATGGGGGAGATTGAAAAGTTTATTGATGGGAGGTGTGGAAGGAAGCAAGATTCTGATAACAACACGCGTTCAGTCTGTTGCCCACTCCATGGGCACAACCCCATCTTATTTCCTCGAGGCCCTTTCAGAAAACTCGTCTTTAGATTTATTGATGAGAATGGCATGTGAGGAAGAAGAAGAGACTAGAGATTCAATTAAGCTAACTATCGGGAGGCGGATAGTCAAAAAATGCGGTGGAATCCCTCTGGCTATACGAACAATTGGAAGTATATTATTGTTAATGAAACGTGCAGCCGAGTGGTTACATTTCGAGCACGAGATCCCAGAAGTTTCTGCAGATTTTTATGGCATTATTGCACATCTAAAGTTTAGTTATGAACATCTCCCGTCCCATTTAAAACAGTGCTTTGTCTTCTGTTCATTGTTTCCCGAGGATTCTGTGATTGATAAACTCATGTTGACGAGTCTCTGGATGGCAGAAGGCTTTATCCGCCCAATAGACAATGTAGATTGGGATATGGAAGATATTGCTCATGATTATTTCATGGATCTACTTAGGAGAAATTTCTTTCGCGACTGCATTGAAGATGAATTTGGAAATGTGACGGCTTGTAAGATGCATGGTATATTGAATACCCTAGCACGCATAGTTGCTGAAAATGAGTATTCTCAAGGAATTGATCGGACATGGTCGTCTAATGTTGGAAGAATTCGTCATGTATCATGGGGTTCAACTTTAGATTTAAAACGGGGACTTCCATCTACACTACTCAGAGCAAAACATCTGAGGACATTCATCAAAACAGATCAGATGGAAACCTCGAGGTGTGAAACTCAAATGGGTGAAAAAACTCTTTGCGATTTCATTTCTAGTTTCAAGTTCTTGCGTGCCTTGGATTGGCATGATAGTGGTATTGAGAAGTTGCCAAGTTCCATTTGTGAGTTGAGGCACCTGACATTTCTGGATCTCTCTGAAAATGACGGAATCATAAGGCTTCCTAATTCTATGACAAGATTGCATAGATTGCAAGTACTTAAACTAAATATGTGTTACAAGCTAATGGAATTGCCAACGGATATAAGAAAATTGGTCAACCTTAGGCAACTAGAGATTAGCAATTGTAATGCACTATCTCACATGCCACGTGGATTGGGCCAGTTGACTCTTTTGCACACTCTTAACAGATTTCCTTTTGCCCGGGGATGATTCCCGTCCCAAGAATTGCGGTGGCTTGGGGAGTTGAACAGGTTAAGCAAGTTGAGAGGAAGCCTTCGAATTGAAGTTAAGGGAAAAATGGAAGATGTGCTAGCAGAATCAAATGCTGCGAACTTGAAGGAGAAGGATTCATTAGTTTCGCTAGTATTAGTGTTTGCCGGAAAAGAAAGTGATGAAATTCTACTCAAAGAGCTGCAGCCAAGCTTAAATCTTCGAAGCTTAGAAATAAGAGGCTACGGGAGTGCAAGGTTTCCAAGCTGGATATCTCGCATGGTTGAGATAGTGGAGCTACGGTTGTTTGATTGTGCAGGATGCAAAAGCCTCCCAGCACTTGGTGAGCTTACTAGCCTCAAGCGTTTGGAAATTGGTGCGCTACCTATAGTGGAGTACACAGAGAGTGATCTTCATACCCTCTCATCACTTCCTAATCTCTCTGCACTGAGGATATGGGAAAGTCCTAATTTGGAACGGATTCCACCACTTCTACATCTCAAGGAGTTGAAATTTCCTAGTTTCCCTTTGGAATCGTTGCAGACCTCAGTTGCCACTATTGAACATGTAATTGCTATTGATGATCGAGTGAAAGATGTAATCAAGTTATTGGAAATAGAAGATGATGGGGGTAAAGCGTGCATGGTTGGAATCGGTGGAACTACTGGAATCGGCAAGACAACTATTGCGAAGGTCGTGTACGACTGACTCTCCTCTCGTTTTGACAGTAGTAGCTTTCTTGCAGAGATTGGAGAAACAGCACAAAATGTTGGTGGTATTCAGTTTGTGCAAATTAAGTTGATATCTGATATTCATAAGCGAGATGGCAATATTGCTTCTCTCAAAAGAGGAATCAAGTTCTTCCTGGATGTATTTCGCAGTATAAAAGTTCTTATTGTCCTAGATGATGTGGAAGAACAGTCTCATCTTAGTGATCTCGTAGGAGACCAGCTTGACTGGTTTGATTCTGGAAGTCGAATAATTGTTACTTCAGAAAATGATGGAATTCTCCAAAGATATGTTTCTCAAGGCCTGGCTTGTACCTATGAAGTGACTGAGATGGATAATGATCAAGCTCTTGAACTTTTTTGCAAGCATGCTTCAAGAACAGATAATTTTATACCTGACTGTCCTGAAATTGTGAATCGCATTGTCAAAGCTACGGGGCAGGTTCCACATGCTATTGAAGTCATCGGTTCATTTCTGCGTGGAAAAACAATAGAAGATTGGAGGAAGATAGAGGACCTGATAAAACCAAGGAAGGAGAACTCTCGAGAGATTCTGAAGGATTGCAGGGAGATTTTGAAAATCTGCTATGAAGCATTAGATGAAAAGCAGAAACAAATATTTTGGGACATAGCATGGTTTGCCAATGGCATGGATAGCCGAATTGCGTCATATATGTGGCCTGATCGAGATTTTTTGCCTTCTCACCATGTTTTGATGCCCCTAGCAAAAATTGGAGAAGACAACATGCTGTGGATGCATAAACTGTTGAAGCGCCTCAGCAGAACTATAGATCAAGAAGAGCCTAGATATACTGTAAGGCACAGTAGACCTATGTTGCACCGACACGCGACACGCGACACGACACGACACGACACGCGACACGTCAATTCTCAAAAAATACCATTTTCCGACACGTCAGGACACGTATATTAAATATATATTTTTAATAATTAAATACCGTCACAATTATAAAATGACCTACCACAGCTCTTAATAAGAAAAAAAGACAGCAGTCCACCAAAATTTCTTTTCCCCATCCATCTGACCTCCCCATCTGACCTCCCTATAAGAAAAAAAAACGCAGCCCACCCATCTGACCTAGCCCACCACTTTTTCCTTTTCCCCCAACCCACCCACACACGCCCCCTTCCCCGACTTCTCCCTTCTTCCCAGTTCCCCAGCCACCACAATTTCTTTCGAAACAGAGAGGTCTACCTGCAGCGAGCGGCGAGCGCGAGCGGGAGAGGGAGCGGCGAGCGTGAGCCGCGAGCGCGACCGGCTAGCGGGAGCGGGAGAGGGAGCGGCGAGCGGCGAGCGGCGCGGAGGACGGGAGTTCGTCGGTCGAACAGAGAAGTAAAGAGGCAATCGTGTTTTAGCCCTAATTTGGTGGTCGACGCCTTTTATTGTTCTCTGTTTTCATTTTTTTTACAAATTTACTCTTCGGACACGCCGGACTCGCGTGTCGGAGGCGTGTCCGGAGAGTTGACTTCGTGTCTGAAATCCGACACCGTGTTGACCGCGTGTCGGAGGCGTGTCCACGCGTGTCAACGTGTCCAACGCGTGTCGACGTGTCTGACACCGACACGTTGGCCATTTTCACGTGTCGGTGCAACATAGCAGTAGACTATACATGGATGATACAGACCTGACAGTAATCAACCGGAAAGAGGTAAAGGTTTTTGGTTCAATTGTTTTTGCTTTCTTCTGCAAAGTGAAAGCCTTGACGTATAAGGTCTAATTTGTTATCCCGTTTTCAGTTATTTTACCATCTATAGATTGTCTTGGCATCCGTGGAAAAGAAAGCAGACTAGTCCTTATCACGTAGCAAAATTGTTCCATTGTAGTTTATAGCTTCAGATTGATTCTTTACTCTTGGCAAATGTAGGGACTGGAAGAGGTGGAAGCCCTTTGCTTTGACTTCAAAAATTGTCCTCTCCATGTATGTACAGAAACCTATTTCAAGAGCATGCCAAACATAAGTTTCTTGCTATTGGATCATGCAAGTATGACTGGAAATTTTGTAAATGTATTTCCAAAGTTAAGGTGGCTTTGTTGGCGAGGGTGCCCGAGGGATTCTAACAGCTACCTTGCCTCTCCAGGACATCATCAATGACTATTTTGAAGATGCCAATAAAAGAAAAGGTTTTTAAAGCCAACAAGTTAGAGAAAGTGCTCATAAGAATTCCGAAATCTACTACTTGCTGTGTACTGAGCAGAAAGCTTATGTCTGTCAATAGCACTTGCTGCATTATAATTATGTTGAAAGTTTAAATGTACCAAGTAATAGCTGCATCCACCTCATTGTAGTGTGATCTATCAATTGATAGGAGTGGTGTATGCTGAGTGTAACTTGTTCAACAAATTACTAGTGCAATTTAGCCCAATTTGTGGCTGTTAGTGGAGAGAGTGGACGTAGGCTTGGAATCAAAGTTGAACCACTATATATCCGTATGTGCAGCTGCTTATTCTTCTACCTATCATTTCTAGCATACAAGTGATACATTGCCTCTCATACATCTGGTGTAACCCAATATTTATTTGTTACACGATGTTTTCCTCAAAAGTTTTCAAAACCTCTAAAGCAACCTATTCACCCCCTCTAGGTTGCATAGTTAGTCCCAACAATGATCTCAGATCTGTCGTCTGGTCAGCAAGAAGGCTCTTGACTGATGGCCCTGCAGGTTTGCTGATGAGATAGACGATCGGCATTGGGAACAAGAACGATGTCTCAGCTGTTGAGAAAGCCGGTGGTTGGTCTTCACGTGAAATCATGGTTGTGGTTCGAATGCACAAAATTTATCAGCTCTTTCACGGCATCATGCTCACCTAGGATTCAAGATATTAAAAGCGGACCTCACGAAATCATCACGTGATTAGGAAAGCTAATAGCATATTTATATTTGCTAAATCTTTCTCGAACGACTATGACACTTGGGGGTACATTAAGCACCCCACCATTTGTCCTCCGATGACCGAGTCCGTAGACTCATCAAACAAATGAGAACAAGTCGTTGGATGGAGAAAGATTTTGTTTCACTTAGGATGGACTGTAGTTGTACAAGAATCATTTTCTGGTTCTGCTGTGTGTTTTTAACACAATCAACATTTCTAATTCACAGAAGTCCTCAGCAAAAACGCACTTTGTTAGTGAAGAAGTAACAAGATTAAGTGTAACATATAAGAAATGAACAGGCCCAGAAAATTGGTGCTTATAATCAAGTCGGTCCATGGGAAATAGACATAAGAACTGTAAGGAGATAATGACACAAATGATTCTTAAACTTTGGCCTAATGTACAATATCGTCATTGAACTTTTAATTTATTCAATATGGTCCCTAGACTTTTTGTACATGTTTAATTTAGTCTATGAACTATATGGAAATGTTTAACGTTACCCTTTTATTAATTCAAGTTCAGGGACAACATTGAACATTCTCATACAATTCAGAGACTAAATTAAAAATATACAAAAAATTCAGAAATCACATTGAACAAATTAAAAGTTCAAGGGCGACATTACATATTAAGCATAAGTTCGAGAACCATATTGAACAAATTTAGATTTTAGTGATCACATTGCATATTAAATTAAAGTACAGTGATCATTTGTGTCATTTACCTAACATCGAGAGCTTCACTCATTCTCTCCTACCTTTTACGTCTTCTCCATCATGTTTCAGCTACCAATAAAGTCGTCCACGTCACTCTGCACTAGAGGTGTCAAAATGGGTCTTAAACCCATATATGACCCATTTAAAAATAAATGGGTCATATATGGGTCACTTTAATTTTAAAGAGTCAACCTTAAATGGGTTTTAAATTTTAAAGCTTAAAGATAAATGGGTCTAAATGGGTTGAGTTTGAAATCCATGTCCAACCCACCCACTAGACCCATCCACACACTCTCTCCCTCTTTATAAAGATGTTTAAAAAAATCGAAATTTAATTATTTTTATTTTTTCTCTTTTTCTTTTATTTTTTATTTTTTCTTTTCTCTTCTTTCTTTTTCTTTTTTTTTTTATTCCGGCCGGTGGTTGGCCACGGCAACCGGTCACCGGGGCGGGACGACCTCGCCGGAGGCCGGCGAAGCTCGAGCTCGCTGGCCTCCGGCAAGGCTCGAGCCTCGTCGATCTGGCGAGCCTCGAGCTCGCCCGATTCCGGCGACCTCGAGGCTCGCCCGATCCCGGCGAGGCTCCAGCCTCGCCTGGCCGGCGACCGGCGATCAGCCAAAAATAAAGGAAAAAGAAAAAAATAAAAATAAAAAATAATTAAAAATTCGATTTAAAAAATAAAAAAAATATTAAAATTTTTTTTTATTTTCTTAGATAATGACTTTATGGAAAATATTTTCTAGAAATGTCACATTTTTCGTAAAACAAACAGAACCTCAATTTTTAAAAAAATTATAAAAAATTTTCACTAGCTTTGTATTGCATAAAATATTTTAGCAGTATAATTTTAAAAAAAAATCATAAGAAACAAGTATTCCTGGATTAGGTTAAATATAAAAGTGTTTTAGCAATATGGGTCGGGTCGGATATGGGTCGGGTCAGGTATGGGTCGAGATATTTACACTATGAATAAATGGATCATAAACGGGTTAATGGGTCAATTTGGGTCGGACCATTTATGACCCGACCCGACCCACCCGTTTAACAGGTCTACTCTGCATTACATTTACCTCCGTGCATACTCTGCCGGGCGTGGACCTTTAGACCTGGTTACAACCCAGTACATCCACCATGACCATAATAAAGAAACTTTTTGAGCCATCTAATACTATCGAAAATTGGCCTAATCCCAATTACAATGCCTCGCTTACAAGATGTCCCCAAAAAAGCACGTTGAGGACAGTAAAGGCATCACTTTTCGAATGTCCCAAAGGAAGAGCATATTTTTCTATCCGAGGGATAGAAAAGACACGATGACATCTTTTTCGTCCAAACATCGTACACCGCAACAATTCAATCTGAAATTTAATTGGACAATGATGCCGTATTAGCTCAAATTTTCACTGCCTACAACCATCTTTGTCTCTCAAGTAAAAGTACACACTATTTTTTAGAATATTTGAAAAGTGGGTCATTTTTTCTTAGATATGATCATAGAAGATCGAATTAACCTTAAACCTCATAATCCAACTTCAAAATCAACCTTGGGTGAGCGGAGATGCTTGGCAGCGTCAACCCATCATGGCTATGATAATTAAGTCTAACACAAATAGCCATGTGCTGGTAATCACAGTGCCTATTTATCATATCATCTTTTTATCAGCATTATCCATATATTAACTGGATAGTCGGAACACAGGTTCTTAGCCTGAACTTGCACAAGAAGGAGCAGTCACCTGATGTCACAACTTCTAAGCAAAACATTCCTCTGCGAACAAGTCGAACATCGTAGATTTTCTAGATAGTCACCAAAAACGCCTTTACTCATAGGAAGGCCAATCGAGGACAGTACCACATGCTTTCAGTAGTAATACTGGGAAGAGAAAATATACTGTTTACATCAATTGCTAAAATAGAAAAGTGATGTCTTTAATCTTCACTTATTCTTTTTGTTGTTTTGCAAGAGAACACTCCACTGTGCACTCTCTCTAAGGTTCATTTGCGAGCATCTGCCCTCTTCAGTTCTTTGGCTGTAGATGAAAAGAGAGTTTTTGAATCAGTTTTGGTGATAAGGGTGAAACCAGAACGACAAATACAGCAGCCTCAAAGAACTTTACCAGCTTTCTCTTCTTCTCGCTTCTTGGCAGCTTCTGCTCTTTGTTGCCGAATGAGGGCTAAACGCTCTGCAGGAAATAAGATGTGCAATAATGAGCACCAAAAACCAAAACTAGAAAGGAGAAGGGAATGGATATGATGAATGATCGAGAAGAAACTGACGGATTATCAACAAAGACGAGCCACGACACTGCTTGTCTTTGCTCTTTGTTTTGATTGATTGACTTAACTACATCTTACAGATAAAGATTCGAGTTTTTAATTTCCCTCCCCTTCACCAACAAGGCAACAACTGTATCCCAACGTGTCTTGCTTAACTTCTCCCTCCATCTTTGGATTTTCAATTCGAACAACACTTTCAGTCCCTTTCCGCTTCTGCAATTATTTGGCACAAATACACCGCAAAGTTTAACAAAATCAAGTCTCTCCTTAAACGATTGAAGGCTATCATATGACATTTTCAACCGAAATAGGCAGGCGGGCATTACTTACTTCAGTCTCTTCACCAGATTCTTCTCCTGATTCTTCTTCTACGCACTCAGCTTCTTCCTGAGAACAACTACATCTCCTCCTTTCTATGAATTTCCTTACATATCCTACACAGCTTTTGATTAGACAGTCTTTCTTAGCTGGACGTCTTGTTTCTAAAACTGTCTTTTCAGTATCAGAATCTAGTTGTGTAGAGCTGTCTGTGCAAATCAAATCTTAGGCAAATCTCGTGCAATCCTTATTATAGAAGTCTGTTATACGCATGATTTATTTTTCCAAGACATGGTCTGTGGTGGATTCGTGTGTATGTCTGGTAGGTAAGATTGACAATGTTTGGATTTAGTGACCCACCTTGATTCGTGTATATTCAGAGATGAGAATTTGTATATGACAGAGTTTGAGATGCAAACTAATGTCAAGCATTCGTGGATGATTAAGTTTATTGTGGGTGAAGAAAAAGTTCATACTAGCATTGTTGTTTGCACGTCGCGTGCAAGAAGTTCGGTCACAATGGCTAACTCGCTTTCTACATTTGTTGTGCTGCCAATTGTGATTATTCAAATTTGCTTCTTCCCCAACAAATCATTCAAAGAGTTGGATTGCAATTCTGAACCGGTATGGCTTTACACGAACTAAGAAACATGCTAATACAAGTTGTTGTCTGTGATCATTGAACAAGAAGGCAGTTAATTGCCAGCTTTAGGAATAAGTTAGAGTTGTGTGTTTGGCAGAGATCATTACTGGCTAATGTAACATTACAGCGAGTAGAGGCCTGCCTGGGAATGGGAAGTTGTTCATGATCTATCCTTAATTATATCTGATCTTCTTTTGAGATGATAATATTTGTCTGATAACCTGCTGTGTTTAACATAGATACCGTGATTTCACAAGTGCGTATCATCATGGTGTGGACTAGACTATGATATCACTCCGCACGCACGTTCGAAAATGTGGAGAGGTGGCTAAAGGAACTCCGAGACCACACTGAGGCCAACATCATGATCATCCTCGTCGGTAACAAGGCGGACCTGCACCATCTCTGTGCGGTCTGCCTTGACGATGCTAAAGCATTTGCAAAGCAAGTGCACACCTTCTTCATGGAGACATCTGCGTTGGAGGCGCTAAATGTCGAGAATGCCTTCACAGAAGTGTTGACTCAGATCTACCGCGTTGTCAGCAGGAAGGCTCTCAACATCGGCGACGACCCTGCAGCCCTGCCAAAGGGACAGATGATCAAGATCGGGAACAGGGACGATGTCTCGGCCGTCAAGAATGCTGGTTGTTGCTCATCATGAGAAATCATGGATCCGGTGCGAAAGTGCTTTGCTCTTCATAGCATTGTGTTTCAAATAGAGGGAGCGACACTGAAGTTGGACTCCATCAGTCATGTATAGAAAAACTTAGATACTCTTATAGCATATTAATGTTAGATGAAATTATTGCATTTAAAAACAAATGAAATTGGCAGTTACTCTTTCCTTGTTGTTTGCTTCCTGTTCTTTCTTTTTTCCCTTTTGAACTTATTCTGCTGGGTTTCTACACACGTTTCTGAAAAGCATTACCTATTATTCATAATGCAAGTATGGTTCATCATCAGCAATTACTAAAAGTATAATCATGATCAGTCGTTATTGCAAGTGCATTTATAGGACACTTCGTTATGTGTAGCCTGAGTTATCACTACTTCTGACACCGGATATAGCGAATCCTGAAGATTGTCAGAAAATAGTTTGTGAAGCCTGAAACTCCAGCGATTGCTGTGGAAAATCTTTGTTTGGAAAAATAGAACAGTCTAAGATATATAGCTAGTTGGAGTAAAACAAAATTCTCTAATCCAAGACGTCCAGTAGAGGCCCTGAGTTATGAGTTACAGCAAATAATAAATAGCAATGGAGCTATGCATGATAGGGACAGGGAAGCTTAACTTAAATCTCAGATGGAGAACTGTGGCGCCAAGAGGCAATGTATTGGAGCATGAGGGCTTGAATTGATTCGTTGTATTGGGAAAAGCTCTTCCACGCAACTACCATTGGAAGAAGACAGCGAAACGGGATCTCTATTCTCAAGAATCCCTATGACGGTGTAGAGAACCCCAACTAGAACAGACAACACTGCAGTATTTCATGGAGTTGTACACTATTGTAGGACGTTGCAATTTCATTTCATCAATTGATTAGTGTCCTATTCTGGTGACTGAGGATATGAATAGCTCCCTAACTCAAGCTGTCAACTTGGAAGAAGTGAAATATCCTATTTTTGAACCGAGATCACTTAAGGCACCTGGGCCTAATGGAATGAATGGTTTGTTTTATAGAGAGAATTGGGATGTGATACAGAAATATGTTTTCAAGGAAGTATGGTAGTCCTTTGAATCAGGGACCCTCAATCCTCTGTTAAACAGCATGCGAATTACTCTTTAACTCCTAAAGTCCCTAACCCTGAAAGACTTGATCAGTATCTCCGATAGGCTTAGGCAATTTTGCATACAGAGTTATTGCAAAAGCCTCGGTCAATAGGCTCAAGCCCTGGCTACCTGAATTGATTATGCCTATGAAAAGTGTTTTTTGTGTGATGGAGGCAAATACAAGTGCCGGAGGTACTATCGATTAAAGAGAAGAAAAAAGGAGAATAGTTCCAGGCTATTCTGAAACTCAACATCAAGAAACCTACGACAGGGATTTCCTTGAAGCGTGTTTAAAGAAAATAAGTTCTGTGCAAATTCGGGTGAACTAGATAATGCAACATGTGAAGACTGTAACTTTCATTGTTGAGCTAAATGGGGAGCCCTTACGATATATTTCGAGCCTTTGAAAGGAATCCGACAAGGAGACCCTTTTTCCTCTTGCTTATTAATCCTGATCGCAAATGTATTATCAGTGTTAATGCACACATGAGTGAATACAAGGAGAATGAAAGAGATTCAACTCAACATAAATTGCCCAACAATCTCACATGTTCCGTTCGCAGGTGTGTTTATCTTCTTTTTGAATCCGATGCCGAGGAAATGTCAAAAACTGGCCGATGTGTTAAACCAATACTACTTTGTTTCTGGGCAAGCCATCAACTTGAAATGCCATCACTCATGATAAATCATTCAGTGAATCTAGCCTGAGCAATATGGAAACTCCCTCTAACCATATCTCTTTTTGGTGGGTCACAAATAATGGATGTCACTTAGCTCATCAATCAGAGATATAGCTAAAAGGGAGTTTCGGAAAACTGTTGTCCTTCTAGTTCTAGCCAAAGAACATTGGAATTTGGGTTTCAAAAACGAAAAAAAAGCTTAGACAATCTGGGCTTTCGTGATAAGGTCCCATGTGGGCGGGCTGTTGGCCCAATCAGAATACAATCTTCGCGCGAACATGCCTAATGGAGGCTCCGTGGCAGGAGGCTCTGGCGCCAGCATCTTTTTGGCAATGACATTTTGATACGACCAGAAATCTTATGTAACCAAGTTCGAAACCCCCACTTCGCCAAAGATGCATTATAGCGCCAGATTTTTCCCTCAAAACAACTCTTAAAATTGACTTAGAGCGTGTTTGGATTGAGGAAAGTGAAAAGAAGTGAAGGGTCATAGGAGCCCAGAGGAAATCTTTCCTTTATTAGGGAAAATATAATAGGAGGTAAAAATGAAGTAACTATTTGTTTTTTGCGGCTCATATTTCATCACCAAACAAAGTGTCGGTGACAGAAATGGGAAGCCGCACAGGGAGAGTCGGAAAATCGAAGAGGAGAGTTTATGTTACATATTACTCAACAAGCTTAAGGACTATATTAGATAAGATAAGAAGTATCGGACTTAGATTGCACTCTGTTCAAAGTTTATAATGGCGGTCAATTTCAGGATTATCACTTGCTCGTTTGTTTACATAGGAATCTCAATTAGATCAATGTGTGGAAATAGTAAGTCTCTTCCTTGCATGATTTTTCTCTCCCGGCACTTACCTCGGCTACTAATATTACTGAAAGCAACTAGCTTGGGCTTCCACACATATTTTTTTTTCAGAGAATGCGCCCAAAGACAATCCTACATCTGACAAGTTGGCCCACGAGTGAGCTTTCTGGGTTTCTTAAAAGCAAAATGCCCTTTTTCCAGGTCCCTGAAAGCTTGTGAATGGCGGAGAGACAATGTTAGGAATTGGTTCACAAAATTGATTCTTTGTCAAATGGGACTTCCATGTTCAAATGCTCACTTGTAATCTACTACATTACTTACATACCAATTTTTGTATTTAATTGTGCTCCTTGTTGGCTCAGCTAGTGAAGGTGTAACAGTCTGAATTTTCGATCCTTTTCCCGGGATTTAGGAAATGAATTTGACCAATGCACTTATAGTGAGATCTCACCCGGAAATGCGCATTCTCGGGATGCTAACCTTAAGGGTAGGGCCGTTACGGGATTGAGTTCGCACGACCAAAGAACTCGACCTGGGTTCAATCTTCGACCATATGGATTGACGAGGAATGTTTTGAGCCAACCGAGACGGTCTACTTGATTGATCGTGTCCGAAGGGAACTAGCGACAGACCCTCGCAATTATATGACAACCGAGTCGTCCCGGGTGGAGTAAACTTAAACGTGATTTGACTTAGTGTCGGTCACGGGTC